AGGGCGTGTTCGGTATATATTAAAATCGGATTAAAATTAAAAAATCAGTCATTACTGTTGTCTTTTATTAGACTAGTGGGACCCGATAACGGCTATATTTTTAATTTTAATTCAATTTTGAGTGGTACCAAACAATCTCTTAATTTTTTTTCTTATTTTTCAATCACACATTTTCTATCGATCTATTATTCTAAATTACATTCTTAAGAAACAAATAGGGCTCAAACAGACTATAAAGATAAACTTGACAACTTTTAAGTCTGGACCTTTATAGAAAAATATTTATAGTTGGGCTAGTTTTTACTATGCATGCCAAAGGACCTTTTAGAAACAATTGCCATATTCGTTACTTTAATGTTCCCTAATGCTGCAGTAGTGCATCTGATGGTATGGTTATTGAAAGGATCCTTACAGCTTTTAGTAATTATACCAAAAGGTCATTAGGACAAAACGAGTTTATTGTTTTCACTCATTATGCAGATCGTTCTTATCATTTTAAATTTGACATTTACATCTTTATTTTAATATTTTCTTGCGGAGTTGGTCCCCTTCATTTAATTCCGTCAATTCCTTTGATCAAATATAGGTAACTTGTCCTTATTGTCTATTAATATTAAAAAAAATTCAAAAAATAGGTTCCGAGCAACCACGAAAATAAATGTGTAAAATTTTCTTATGAGTGGATTATCTTTTTTGTCAGCTCAACTTTTGCTTGCTATCTCTCTCTTTTTTTTTTTTTTGCATTTGTCTAATCACTGCAAATTCAAATGCATCAATTATTGTACTTTTGTCTTCTTCTTTTTCTCTTCAAAACTCTCTAGCAATCTTCTCGAGAAAGTTTTGAAAAACTAGCATTGGTGCAACCATCATTTAAGGTCATGTTTGATTGCTCTCTTTTTTTCATAGAAGATAAAAATTAAAATCTATTTTCACAGATTTTTCATGTTTGATTGACTAAATTTTACATGGAATTGATTTTCCACATTTTCCCATGGGTTTGGTGGAAAATGTTTTCTAGGCATTTTTTTTAATTGAAATTAATTTTATCTCCAATTGTAACAAATGACCAATGGGTTTGATGGAAAATGTATGGTTGAAAAAAAAGGAAAATTTATTAATATGATGAAAAATATTATTTTATTGAAAAATGTATAGTTGAAAATAAATACAAGAATGAGAACGAAAATTTTAATGTGGTTCAAACAGGGGCCAAGTATGCTACACAAACAGATTGATAGGTTAAAAAATAGGGAAGACAAGTGTCGGCATATAATTGGAAAGTTTGAAAAAAAATTTTAAAAATCCAATCATGCGACACTACCCCGTCACCTGCATCCCTGTCCTTGAGCATGTCCAAGAAGCATTATTCTTCTCATATTATCTCGAGTAGACCCCTCCTCCCCATTCCCAATAGAGGAGTAAAAATGTGTTGAACTGCCGAGACTTGAACCACCCAACACGACTAAAACCGTGCCATCATATTGGGTACAACTGTAGGATCAGTGGCCTGTCCAGGCCGTGACAACCAATGTAGCAGTGCACATTCAACAAATTTCCAACAAAACGTAGAAGTAATGCAAAAAGAACACTATTACGGTAGTACCAGGTGGGAAAATTTAAAAATACGGGTACTCTGCAAATAAACACATTTCAACTGCTTTTACAAAGATCCAAGCTCCAGTAGACGATAAATCCATCGGTATCGGACATTAATATATTACAGATATTATACATACATTGCACAAGGCAAATGACTTGATATTTTGCCTGTGCATAGATAAAGATTATATGCTACATTCCGCACAAGCATCGTTGTTATTTATTCCTTGATCCTATATTGCCTTTTGATTGGCCTCTCATTTGGACCGGCCATTTTCCGGGAACTCAGGTTACAGAGTGCAGACCCTGCCACATTCCATACAAATTTGCATTTTCTAATATCATTCCGTCTTCTCGCAAAGTCGTATGTTACGTGATAGATAGCAAGGGCCTCCATCTCAATTTCTTCAGTTTTTTTAGCACTTTCTTCCATGTCCGGGGCAT